CAATTGGATCAATAACCAAACTATTTAGCATCTTCTCTTTCACTCATTCTCATCTTGTCACTGCTCCGCCCATCAGTCGAGACTTTTAAGACTTCTAACGTACCACCCTTCTCCCAACTACTACCCTTCAGACACAAATACCCTTACATTTTGAGACATTCTACATTAGTGTCCAAGAAGTACCATTTTTCTCTCTGTCGAAACAGTATTTCTAGCTTTCTCTCTCTTCACTGTCCTTGCTTATATAAAATTTTGTTTCAAACTCTCTGTCGCTCTCTAAAGTTACAATATTTTACTATTTGAATCCTTCAAAAACACTGAAAGAGAAGATGGCTAAGCCCCTTTTGACTAAAACCCCACGAAAGTTTTTCTTCTTCTTTCCTCAGAAGCCTACTTGTTTCTCGGCAGAGAATTTTTGATCAAATTTTCTTGGGAGATTCCTGTCCAAAGTTTGGGTCTTTCTGGGTGGATTTTGGTATTTAGGTTGAAAGACTAAAAGGGTTTTTGTAGAAAGAAGGAACAGTATGAGATCAAAGAAGATGTCCATCAAGCTGTGAAGGGATTTTAGTTTTAGACAATGTGATCCTTCAAAATTTTCTCTTTCTTTTGTTTTTCTTTTCTTTTCTTTTCATTTGACTACTTTTTGGTTTTTGCTGTCGTAGGTAAAGTTTTTACTTTTGTTTACAGGATATTTGTTTGCTTTGTTGAATGATCTTTTACGGTTCGTTTCACTTCTATGCTTGACTTGAGATATCAATTTTGTTATGTTTTTGAGTTCTAGAAAATTTTCTTAAATGTATTTTTTTCTGTCTCTGGTGTTGAGATAGGGTTATGTTGCTTGAATTTCTGGGTCAAAGTTAAAGCTTCATGTTCTTACAAAGGTGATTAGATAGTCAAAGTTGGTTGAAGACTTTAGAAGGATATTTAAGGTATGTTCAGCTTCATGATGTTGAAATATTTATTGGCGATTTTGACTTTTTTTGTACTGGAATCTATTTTCGTTGATGGTGTTGAAGCTTTCGGTAATCTAGGACAGATGTATAACACAAGGTTCCACTTGTTAACCTTGTTCTGTCTCTTTTGATTAGTGTACTATTGCCAGCCTGAAGCTACTAGTCTATGTTGTGATCGGGCAATCGATTTAAGATGTCGAAATATGTAATAATGCAAAAGAACCATTTGGCTCTGGAGGAGTCTAAAGTTTCTTTGAGATCATGTTTCACATTCTTTCTGCTGAGACATGTTGGTTTTGGAGATTATATTGCACATCTTATTGAGTTGGTCTCATTTGTCGAATTCGTACTGATTTTTACCCTTTGTTGAACTTGTGAACTTCAGACACAAACAATAAAGACACGACACATTATGGTTGCAAAGGGACGTCCAAAAGTGGAGGTGGGAGAGATAGACACCAGTGCACCTTTCCAGTCTGTTAAAGATGCTGTCACTCTTCGGTGAAGGCGCTTTCTCTGGGGAAAAACCTACCATCAGAAAGGCAAAAGCTCAATCTGCGGAGGTACTATTGACTCACTGAAGATTTCTTTCTTCTTTCACCTGAAATTTTGTGACAAGTTGTAATAGTATACGTATTTTCTCGGCTTGGATATGATATCTGTGGCACGTTGAAGTTTTTTCCTTTCACTTTTTTTATTCCCCTGTTCGCATTCATCAATAATGGCTGTAAGTGTTAAAATGTCTATGAACCATACCACTGAGGATCATGAAAATAGAATCTACCTTTATATGAGAAGCCCACGTGGCAACTAGACCTTGTTAATAAGCATTTTTGTCGTCTTTCCAAGATTCATTTATTAGTCTTCAGCTGTTATTTGTTTTCGAGTTGCAGAGGGTTCTAGCCAAGGAGACTCAGCTTCATCTCACTCAGAAAGAATTGAAAAGATTGAAGGATCAACTAGAAAATGCCGAGACAACCAAGGCTCAAGCACTTGTAGAGCTGGAAAGGGCTAAAAGAACCCTTGAGGAACTGTCTCATAAACTCAAAACTGTTAACGAGTCGAAAGAATCTGCAATCAAGGCTACAGAAGCTGCAAAGAATCAGGCAAAGCAGATTGAAGAAGCAAATTCTGATATTCTTCCCAGACCTGACGGAGCTAGGAGCCTAGACTTGGAAACTGCAAGGGAACAATACATGACCGTAATTACTGAACTTGATGCGGCTAAACAAGAATTGAGGAAGCTTCGTCAGGACTGTGATGCATCCTTGGAAGCAAAAACTGCTGCCTTCAAACAGACAGAAGAAGCTGACATGCAGCTAAGGTTAACACGGAGAAGGTTGAAGAGGTGTCTACGGAAATTTCATATTTACAGGAGTCAATCGGACAAGTGAAGCTTGCATCTCTTGAAGCACAGAAAAAGCAAGCCGAAATGTTCACCGAAAAGGATTCTCGGAGGCAATTATATAAAGCTACCCTTGGGGAGTCAACAAAGAAGTTTCTTTCTTTGAAGAATGAATTTTACCCTGAGCTTATGCGAAATCTTGAAGCAAAACTGGTTGAAACGGATAATCAGATTGGGGCTTTGCAGAAGCTGATGGAAAATGCAAAGGCTTCAGATCTGGACTATGTGCAAACTGTTACCTCAGGGCTAGATGGTGCTAAAGAATCACTGCAAAAAGTCGCTGATGAAGAGAAGTCCTTGAGAAGTTTGGTGGAGTCTTTTAAGGTGGAACTAGAAAATGTGAAGAAAGAGCATTCAGAGCTGAAGGAGAAGGAAGCAGAAACAGAGTCCATTGCCGGGAATCTGCATGTTAAGCTTCGGAAAAGTAAAGCTGAGCTTGAAACTTTCCTTGCAGAGGAATCCAAAACGAGAGGTAACTGTGAAGAAATGATTTCAACCCTCCAACAGCTATCAGTCGAAACAGAACATGCACGGCGAGAAGCAAAAGAGATGAAAAAGGAAGCTGAGAAGCTAAAGGTGGAAGCTGAAACCTCTAGAATTGCACTTGAGGAAGCAGAGAAGGAGCTGGTAGTTGCTCTGGAAGACGCTGAAGCTGAGACTAGGGCGCATGATCAAATAAAGATGCTTTCTGAGAAAACCCGAGTCTGGAGCCAGTATAACTATCTCCAGGGAAGAATTTGAGTCTTTGAGCTGGAAAGTTGAAGAGTCGACCAATTTAGCTGAAATGAAAGTGGCGGCTGCTATGGCTCAGATAGAAGCTGTGAAGGCTAGTGAAAACGAGGCCCTTAAGAGGTTAGAGGTGACTCAGAAAGAGATTGAAGACATGAAGGTCGCAACTGCAGATGCTTTGAAGGGGGCTGAGATGGCTGAAGCTGCAAAGAGGGCCGTGGAGGGAGAGCTCCGAAGGTGGCGTGACAGGGAACAAAAGAAAGCAGCCGAAGCTGCATCTCAGATACTGGCAGAAGCACAGATGACAACAGAATCATCCCCACAGCACTACAGAATTCAAAAGCCGTACCCACCAGAGAAAACTGTTCAGGTTAGCAAGTTAGAAAAGGAGAAGTCTTCCGTCTCGAAAAAGGTTCTCTTACCTAATATCAGCGGCATCTTCAATAGGAAAAAGAACCAAATCGAGGGTGGATCTCCCTCTTATCTTCCTGGTGAGAAGCCTCTGTAACATTGCCTGATCTTTGTACATTTTATCAATGGTTGAGAGAGACATATATTTGGTTGTGTAATTCGGAGAACTGTGAAATCAAATCCCTGTTATTTTTGTCTGGCGTGAGGAATTTAAATTGGAAATATCCAAGGATTAGTTTGCAGCAACATGGAGTAAATGGAATATATGGCTACTATTAGGTTAATTGATGACTTAGCAATGGAAATGAATGCTTGTGTTGTGTATTTTAAGTGCCAAAAGTTCTTTGGAGAGCAATGTGGTGGCAATGATGTTGATGAACCTTTGGTAGTAATCAAAATTTAAGCTTTTTAATGCTTTTGGCCACTCAAATTGCTTGTTTTTCAAGACTGGTTGAATGCATCCAGGCAATGGCATCCTCCATCTATTGGAATAAATTAAACATTTTCCTAAAATTAAGCAACTGGTGACCACTGGTGGGTGAGAATTAGCCAAATACTTGAAAAAATGTCCAATTAAGAGTCCATTATTGCATCAACATCACTATCATTCACTGCTAACATCCAAGAATACATATGCAACACATGTTTCTTCACACCCTGATTAGCAGCCTGAAACTTTTTTGCATTATTTTGAATGAGCAATGAGAAGCAGGTGGATCTAATCAATCTTTTTATATATAAAAGTATGGTAAAGGGGATCATTTTAAATGAGAGAAAATCTTACAGTATCAAAGTACCATTGACAGTTGTTCAACCTCAATTATTGATAATGTGAGTCTTTCTTATTGATTAAAATTGATGGCATGACAAGAGTCGTTAAAGCACCAGAGATCGAGATTGGTGGTTGTGTTATTTGCAGGTTGGTACCTTTGCATCCCCCCCCCTCCCCCCCAACTTTGTTACCGTTATCAATTTTATGAACTTAATTGTGTGACTAATCCCCTCCATGGCTCCATTCATCTATATGAGTGAATAATCTCATGATAGTTTCTTCATTGCATTTCTTGGTTCTGGGTTTTCGTATTTTCCATTTTGTTTTTCTGGGTTTTTGTATTTTCCATTTTGTTCATTGCTTGGAGTCTTTATTTGTTACCAACGTTTGTGTTATGGATGATTTTGTCTTTTTGGTCAGGGACCATGACTTTAGTGGCTCTACATTTGATGATCAAACAGTGATTCTCTGTGATCAAGTATGTGCAGCTTCCTCGTACTCTTTCTGTCCAAGCAAGCAATTTGCTTTGTTTTAATATTATCTTTTTCTCTTGTCCTTTCTTAGTGTGAGGAGTTCCATGTTGGTTGCCTGCGGGATAGTGGACTGTGTGATTTGAAAGTAAGTCTGAAACCTTCTAGGAGATTATTTATCGAAAAATACATGCTAGTTGATCACCATTTTGGTTTTCTTCCACACAACAGGAAATCCCCAAGAATAAATGGTTCTGTTGCGATGACTGCAACAGGATTCATGGGGCTCTCCAGAGTACTGTTTCCAGTGGTGTGCAGATAATTCCCACTTTGTTCTCAAATATAATCAGAAAAAAGAACTTAGAAAAGGAATTATGTATTGATGTAGCTGAGGTGTCGAATGGAGAATACTGAGTGGAAAAAGCCGTTATCCTGAACACTTGCCGTTACTTTCAAGTGCAGCTGCAATATTTCGAGTAAGTACTTCCAGATGTGAAACATATTAAATTTCAGTGTTTGAGCTTTTAGTTGTTCTGGAGTTTTATATACATTTTTTGTTCCTTGATCTTTTTGTTAGACTTATGTTGCCTTTTACCAAACTATTTAGTCATGTCCTCCAAGTTTGTTGGGAACAATTCATGTTGACCATTTTTTCTGGTTGAAATTTTAAGATAAGCTCAGCCCATGAGTTGGTATGATTTTTGAACAATATATAAAAGGGAACTTGTTCTTGTAGAGTGAATAGTATCATTATTAAAACAGTTGAAATTCCCAAGTATAGAATCATTGATGATGCTGGGTTACGAAGGAAATCATTAATCTTTAGACTGTAGGATAACTTATTATGGATGGCTGATGGGATAGTATTAAGAACCTGCTCAACAAAAGAAAAATTGTAATTCTCTAATCAAGTTGATGAAAACCTATTAGTCAAAAAGTATTAGAACTTCACTTGTAGTGAAGCTAGGATTTCAGAAATAAGCTAATTTTTAATAGAACTTGATTACAATCAGAAGTATTTGGTTTTTCTTTGGGATTTTTTAACATACCTGTGTACATCTTACAGCTGGTTGTGAAAAAAATTAAGTTCTCCTACAGATGTAATATTTTTTCAGTTTTATTTAAACTTCCTGTCTGCTCAAGTGATTTGCACTTCCTTTTTGACAGGAATGTTTTGATCCTATTGTTGCTAAATCTGGTCGTGATTTGATTCCTGTCATGGTCTATGGGTATGTACGCGTTCTTTAACTGTGCCATTTTTCTTTTGCCTCAAATAGATGTGGAATCTCTTTATGGGAAGAAACTGTTATCAAGAATACATGTTTATTTCTCTCTGGTTACTAGACCATCTTGTTCTATTAATCACAAAATTTGCAGCTTAATGATATTACTAACATTGTTAAGACAAATAATTTGCTGTTGGTCTGGCTTGTTCTAATCATATCTGATGGTTACTCTTTTAATGTCTTTTAGGAGAAATATATCTGGACAAGAGTTTGGTGGAATGTATTGTGTGGTTTTGATGGTCAGGTATAATGTTTCTCTCTTCTCACACACATCGGGGCCGGATTTGCAAGGTGTTCTTGTCACTGAAATACTTTATCGGTGTATGAATTTATGGATGTTGCACATGCACAGGTCTGTTGTCGTATCAGCTGGGCTTCTTAGGATATTCGGCTGGGAGGTTGCTGAGCTCCCTATAGTAGCTACAAGCAGAAAATATCAAGGAAAAGTAAGTGTATTATTAGATTGGACTAAGAATATGCATTGTTGTTTCTGTCAACTTCAATTGGTCTTTTGTGGCCATAATTTGCTTGAAGATGGAGCCTAATTTTGGACCAAGCTAAACTTGCCTAATTGGTCTTTTGTTATAGGGATATTTCCAGGCATTATTTGCTTGTATCTGTTGCAACCGTCTTTCGGTTGAGCCCTAGAATTGGGCTTCGACTTGAAAAGTGTGGATTGGAGTCGCCACCGATTATTTATTTAAAAATAAATAGGTTAATCGGGTACCTTATTTCTTACCTGATCTGCGTCTTACTAAAGATATGCCGGATTCGGGAGTCGGTTACATTCAAGGAAGGGTTAGCACCCTTGAACTGCCCTTTCGGTACTCTATAATTGCCAGTTGTCTTAATTAAGAAAGATATAAGTTTAAATTAGAAGGTAAAATATCGATCCGAATTACTTACCGTAGATTGATTCGAAAGTTGTACCCTTTAAAAGTGAATGTGTCAGAGTGAATAAAACGAACAACATAAAGAAAATAAAATAAAGAGAAAAAAAGAATAAAACAAGATAAAAAGAACAAAGACAATATATACATAAATAAATAAATAACCATAAGCAAATAGATCAAAGATAAAGGAAATAAAAAAGGGAAAAGTGAATAAATAAATAGATAAGATAAAGAAGAAAAGTAAAGAAATAATAATAATATATTTTATATACATAAGTAGTTTAGAAAAAAATGATATTAGTTATAAATATACAAATATATAATGACTTATAAAAATAATAAAAATAATCAAGTGACAAATAACTAAAGTATATAGTAATAAAATATTAAAAGTACATATAGATAATAATAAAATATAGTAGTAATATAGAATATAAACATGTATATATATTAAAATACCGAATGGTATAGATCAAGAAAAAAAATAAATAAGAAAATAAATAATAAAACTATATAATTAAATATAAATGCTAATAAACAACATTTAAATTAAGAAATAAAAAAAACATGGGGATCGAATTGAATGAATACAGAGTTGGGGATCAATTTTAAGAGAGGTTAGGGCGATAATGGAAGAATTAAAACAATAGGGGTCCAAAAAGGGATTTACCCTTAAATACGTAAAAACATACGGGTCAGAAGACTGGGTCGGGTCAACACGCGGGTTAACTGGTCGGGTATGGGTTGTGTATAAAAGCCAAAAATTTGTTTAAAAATTCATTTTCTCTTCTTCCCTAGCCGAGTCACTCCCTCTCTCTCAACATTTCTCTCGTCTGTTCTTTAAAAATAAGAACATGGCTGGGTTCTCGCATGAACCCAGATTCTGGCCACCTTAGCACCGCCTCGCCGTCGCCGTTCATCGGCGGCAAAACCTTATTTTTTTGGCCATTCGAAAGATCGTTTTACCCTCGTTTCAAAAATCAAAGTCTTTTCTAAATCGGGCCTCGGGGAACCGTGGATCTAAGGGAGAAGATCTTCGATTTACCCCTTATGTTCATCGGCCAAAACGTTTCCTTTGGTGGCTTTCCGAATCAAGAATAACAAAACGAACGCCTGCAAATATCAAAACGAAAAAAAAGGTACAAGCTTTACCTTTTGTTCTTCTAAAAAACGTTCCGGTTTTGCTCTAATTTTGCTTGGAATTTCTGCTTTTATTTTGTGTAATCCGAATCCCCCTTACAATAGGTTGATTACATGTTTATTTATACTGTAAAAAAATATTTTAAAATTACATTTTTGAATCCTAATGGAACTCTAATGTTGGATTATTGCTTTGGTTGATGATGATGGTTGTGACTCTTGCGTCGGAGGACTCGGGGACTATTGGAGAGGCGTGAAAGCTGCGGTGTCCTCGAGCGGCTGGAAATAAGGGATGCGACGCTGCTGGTGAGGGGGCGTGCTAGGGTTTGGAAGCATCAGAAACGAACTGTTGGGCCTGGGTCACTTGGGCCATTTTTATTTAGGTGTAATGGGCCTGCAAATATGATAAAACAATTTGTAAATATATATATATATATATACGTTAAATAATCATATATAAATGTGTGACGAAATTATGTATCTACAGCTGCCCCTCTTTGCTCATTATCGTGTAACGAAAATAGAGCAAAGATAAAGAGACACAAATTTCGGTCATATCGAATGTCCTCTGTCATAGAGTTGAAATCCGATATTGAAATTGGTTTATCGATATGAATCGTGAAATGACTCCCTTGTCGTGAGGCTGAGTCAAAACTGAGCACGAAATCCTTCATTGTGAAGTTGAAATTGGACTCCGAGCTTTTGGCAAGTGGCCTCTGAATCATCTTCTGGTTCAAGGTACTTCGTCGTGAAGGTGACCCTTGGCCTGAAGACTGTGGTGTTGTTATAGATGACTCATTCGTCACGAAGTTGGGTCAATCTGTTTGTGAAGTTGGAATTGTATATGGCTCCTTCGTCATGAAGTTGAGCCTGAGAATTGGATTTCCTTCGTTGTGAAGTTGAAATCCAAGTATTGTTCCGAGTCCAATATCCTTCGCTATGAAGTTGAAATTGGTTCTGGAAATGGGAAATTGTATATTGACAACCAGTGGTCCCTTCGTCGTGAAGTGAACTTGTGCTGTCTCGAGTCCAATATCCTTCGCTGTGAAGTTGAAATTGGCTCTGAAATTGGGAAATTGTTTGTTGACAACCAGCCGTCCCTTCGTTGTGAAGTTTGAACTTGTGTTGTCTCGAGTCCAATATCTTTCGCTGTGAAGTTGAAATTGGCTCTAAAACTAGAAAATTATTTGTTGACAACCAGCCGTCCCTTCGTTGTGAAGTTGAACTTGTGTTGCCTCGAGCCCAATATCTTTCGCTGTGAAGTTGAAATTGGCTCTAAAACTGGGAAATTGTTTGTTGACAACCAGCGGTCCCTTCATCGTGAAGTTGAACTTGTGTTGCCTCAAGCCCAATATCCTTCGCTGTGAAGTTGAAATTGGCTCTAAAACTGGGAAATTGTTTGTTGAAAACCAACGGTCCCTTCATCGTGAAGTTAAACTTGCGTTGTCTGGAGTCCAATATCCTTCGTTGTGAAGTTGAAATTGGCTCTGAAATTGAGAAGTTGTTTGTTGACAACCAGCGGTCCCTTCGTCGTGAAGTTGAACTTGCGTTGTCTCGCTTCGAACTAGATATCCTTCGTCGTGAAGTTGAAATCTACCTTCGATCAAGTTGTGTTGCTTCGAGAGAAACTGTCTCAAGGGAGACAAAATTTGTTTCCAAAAGAAACTGTCTCAAGGGAGACAAAACTTAGTTCCAAAAGAAACTATCTCAAGGGAGACGAAATTTGTTTTAAGGAAAACATATTCAAAGATTTTTTGTTTCAAGAGAGACAAAACTTTGTTCTAAAAGAAACTGTCTCAAGGGAGACGAAATTAGTTTAATGTAAAACATATTCAAAGATTTTGTTTCAAGGGAAACTGTTTTCAAAGTTTATGTCTCAAGAGAAACTGTCTCAAGGGAGACAAAATTTGTTTCAAGGGAAACTATCTCAAGAGAGACAAAATTCATTTCAAGGGAAATGTTTTCAATGTCTCAAGGGAGACAAAATTTTGTTTCAAGGAAAACTATCTCAAGAGAGAAAGAAAAAAAAATTCATTTCAAGGGAAATGTTTTCAATGTTTATGTTTCAAGAGAAACTGTCTCAAGGGAGAAAAAATTTTCTGTTTCGAGGGAAACTATCTTAAGCAAGATAAAATCTTCTTTAAAAACAGTCTTGAGTGAAATAAATCTTCTTTCGAGTAAAACAGTCTCAAGTGAGACAAAGTCTGTTTTAAGAAAAGCAATCTCAAGTGAGATAATCATCTGTATTAAATGAGACTGTCTCAAGCGAGACAAAATTTATATTGGAATTGTTGAATCTGAAGATGAATGTCGATCTTTCAATCTGTCGAGTTGGCTTTTAATCTCATATTCTCCTGAAAGATCTATAAAATGTATTTGGATGTAACTATCCTGATGATGGATTTTTATATATGCCAAGATGAAATTTATTCGATGTTGAATTTGTCCTCAAGAGAGGAAAAATCAAGGTCTTTATTACACATGATGATGAATGCAAATATACAAATTTCATGCGTCATGTATGTACGTGCTGATGTATATGTTGAGATGTGAGGGGAATGGTTGCGTGTGCAGTCCTCATTCTATCTCTGACTCAATTTGTCTTCATTTCCACCAGGGTGTATTCTTGTAGACCTCAAGAGAAGTTTTCCTTCCCCTATCAAATTTTACCCCAAAAATGGCTTCTTTTGCCTCAGTTTCGATCTTGAGCTTGGGAACGATATTTGTTGAATTCCAAGATATGCTTCCAGAGAACTTATCTTGTTTGAAAATGCTTTTCTTCTTTCGAATTTTCAAAATTTTGAAAAATATCAAAAGGAATCTTTGAAAACGTTACTTCCTTCTAGGTTTCACAATTGAAGCAAATCATAAAACATGAGTTCATTGGATATCAAAAGAATCAAACACTCTTTTAATCTTTGATAGCTACAAATCTTTGACAAATATCAAGATCGAAAAGTTGGTTTAGAGGTGGGTTTGTTTCATCGATTTGGTTATCGTGAAGATTATGGCATGCCCCTCTTTCTTGATTTGGTATTTTGATCGGAGGCGAACAAAATGACACAACTAGCATAATCAATGGCTAGACTTTTCAGAACACTTCTGTTTCAGTTCTCTGAAATCTTCCATTTGTTCAAGTTTCGTAAGCTCTTCTAACAAAGGTAGTGTAGAAATATCGGTCTAAAAATGAAATTCTTGAGTGCTCGTGTTAATTTGACTATAACAGGTGTTTCTCAACTCCCTTAGTCTATTATTACCGGAAATTTCTTTTTTAGATAAATTTGATTTATTTTGCCATTGTCTGGCTAGTCGAATCCATAAAACCGAGGTGTTCAACCAATTGCTTTAGAGGGACAACTTATTATTATAATCACTTTTATCAGGTTTAACTGAAGGGTTCATCTCATC